TGGTTTAAACATGCTTGTTGTCCTTTTTCTGTACTACATTTCTGCCATAGCAGTCAAATTTTTGTGGGGAAACACATTTTCAGCTGCATATGAATGGATTCAGCTTTAGAATAAGTCCAGAATGTATTGAAAACACCCTGAATATATTAAACAAAGGACTTTGAAGACATCAGAAGTAGTGGGTGGGAGATGAGCAGATGCTGGCAAGTGTTACCAATTTGGTGAAATCGGAGCTGTCCAAGATGAAGAAGAAGGGTTTGTCAGAGTGCCTGGGAGGCTTTCTGAATCATTGCTAGCTGTACAGGAAGTCTTCTCTTCTTCCTCAAAAAAAAACTCTGTGCTCAGTAACGCATCTGGAAGTGGTGAATCTCTCTGCAAAATAAGTTCTTTTCTTCCCCCTCACCTGCTTTGCCCAGGAGCACATTTGTACTGCAGAGGCAGCTCCAGTCTGGAGGATGTTACAGCCTCTGCCTCCCTTGCATCCAGCGACTTGCAGTGAAAATTGCTCATCCCTGCATAGCCTTGCATACCCCTGCTCTGTGCGCTGTGTGCATGAAACCTCCATGCCTTCTTCTGAGCCTTTTCTTCTGCAAGGACCAGGATCCCTAACAGCAGTAGTGTGTTTTGCTGAAGACTTTACTGAGAAGTCTACCTTCAGTGAAGGAGGACAGGGTTGATTGGACTTCTAGAACGTTAATCCCTTTTCGGCTGGACAGAGTAATAATTGTCCAATTCTGATAGGAGCACCTTGTCCTTGACCCTTGTTTTTAGACCATGCAAATGCTCTCTGTAGCAGAGAAACCTTCACGTTGTCTTCTGCCAAGCATTACATCATCTTAAGAAATCTTTTCTTCAGCAGAAAAATTCTTATGACAAGTTTCAGTTGTCTAGGTTTAGTGAATGCATTTGTTTAATCATTTCATTCCTGAATGTTTATAGTGGTTGATTCATTTTCCATTGCTGGAAGCCCCGCAGTTCAGGGCTACTGGTGTGCAGACATTTTCAGACTGTAAATCTTTCTGACTAACTTGGAGACAGTTTGCTGTTCAGGTCAGCCAGACTCAGAGCAACAAAGCCTTTGAATCCCAGGTGTATCCTGCTTCTCCTAGCTGCCTCTCAACTGCAGAGAGCAATCTTGACAAGGAAGAGGAGAAATGAAATGAAAACAGAAATGCTTGATCAGGGTGCCAGGGAGTCTTTCTAGGCATATTCCCTGCATCGTGGTTTTGATCCCCTGCATCAAAACCAAAGCTATAGACTTCTGCAGCATCGCTTTCCTTGCCTTCTTTATTTTTCTCATCCTCAGTCTTGTGAACATCACAGTAGATGTGAACTGGAGAGTGACTGCTCTTGTTCTAAATGATTTAATTAGAACATCTTGTTGATAAAGCTTGGCTTCTGATACCTCACTAAGATGTTTTCTAACATAGTCACAGACTGACCATGAGAACTTATCTGCACTAATAGACTTGTGCCATATGCTGTAGGAAACATTGGGAAGGAACGTAGTCACGCCAAAGTGCACTGCTTTGCTTCCAGACATGCACCGAGGTTATTTGAGATCGTATGGTCTTCCAGAGATACTATAATAAAGATATTATTATAAATAAAATGCTCTGTGTTTTCACAGCACCCTTCAAGGCAAAATAGTTACAATACATTATGTGTGCATGAGCTTGCTTCTTAGTTAAATGTGGTACCATCAAAAGGAAAATTACTATCTTGTCAAATCTGTTTAAAATTATAGATGGAAGGGTGTGACTGCATCCTTGTAAAGCTTCAGGAATGAATTCTTATCTAGAGCACGTGTTCACTGCAAGGTCTGTTGCAGAAGAAGGAATTCCAGCGTCCTTTGATGCCATCTCCCCTGTGGTAGATGTTACCGTGGCCCTTGGCACAGAGCAGCCAGTTTGGGTTCTCTGCTGTGTGAGTGAGGGTGGGGAATCCTTGGCTGCTGACCAGGAACAAGCCTCAGCGTGTTGGCTTTTCTCCTTCCTCCCATCTCTCTTATGTCTGCAGCACACTGGCGATAGGAAATTCTGTTTCCAATTCCTGTCTTAGGAAAACACGATCATGCTGTCAGTTTACGGTAATGAAATCCCTCTGTGCTTGGAAGAATTATTTCTGGTCCTCTTTACATCAAGAGGACAGATAAAATCAGAGTTAATTCTGTGTTCAAAAAAGAATGCGCAAAAGCCCTGAGTTTTCTCACGTTCGCAATTTCTGTTGATGCAGGAAGTTGAAGTGCATTTTGTGAGGGGGAATAAAAAGACTGTATGAAAAGCCACGAAACAAGCTGTGCCTGTACTTTAGGTCTGGTGCATGAGTTAGGCATGTGCAGGCAGTGCAATTAAGTTGGGCAACAGCTTGTGTTGCAACATTTCACCTGCAGGTTCGGCTGATGGGAGCACTTATGAAGTGAACGTTTCAGCGGAATTTCTGTGTCCTAATTCTTTTTTGGCTGGGTGCTTGCTATTCTTTGAATGCTTGCCAAAAAGCTAATCCACCTATATATGTTCTCAGGTTCATTAATTATGAAACTAGGAAAATGGTATTGTCGGCTACCTTTTGCAAAGCGTGCTTACACTGTGTTAGAAGACTGAACAGAGTTTTAAGTACTTGGCAGTAGATAGTGAGAAACCAAAGATCTGTCCTTCCCCCTTGCCCTTAATTCTGTGCGCAGAAGAGTGGGAGATCATGTTTTCACTTATTGTTCTGCTTGATGCACAGTATTTCTCTGCCGATTGAGTCATTTCTTACTCTTGTGCAGGTAAGCAGGCTCCCATGTAATGCCAAGGCACTCGCCATGTCCCGGTTCTGCTGCAGACTCGTGGGTTGTCATTTCTGCCTAGTTACATAACTATTTGGAGCTACTGTTAATCAGACTGTAACACTGCTGTACTTATTGGAGTCGTAAATCAGCTAAGACCTAGAATAAAAAGATCTATTAAATGTAACATTTTCATTGATTTTCTGCAGAGCAGCCGTTGACTGTTTAGTTGTTTTAAAATGTCTTTGTCCCTCCCCTCCCAAACGAGTTTGAAATCTTGAGCAATCAAAGCATAAAAATACCTTTCTACTGTACATGCACTGGTGGGAAGGCCTTTGGCTGGATTACTCACTTATTACTGTAACTTTTATTATAAAATAGCTGTTTGGGGAAAATCCTCTAGGGCAGCAGCATTCATGCTGTGAGGTTAGGTGCCTGCTGACTTTAGGAAGAGAAGAAAGGGATACCATGTCTGGGATTAATAGTGTTTGGAGACTTCTCTCTCCGCAGTCTCTGGGTTGTCTCAAGGAATAGGAGTATGAAAAGGGAAGATTTTGAAGAAACACGTGATAAGACCTTTCCGGAGGGAAGGCACAATGTGAGAACAACTCATTTCATTCTGATCAAAGCCCCACAAGCCTGGTATCCTGTTTGCACCATGACTTCCAGCAGATTCCTAGGGAACGCTTAAATAGGACCAACAAATGGTACTTTCCCAGAATACTTTCCAATTCCAAGAAGGACTTCCTGAGCGCAAAGTAATGTTCTTTAATATCTCTCAATGGACTTTTCTTCCATGAGGCTGTAGAGCAGCCTTTGAAGCCGCGTAAGAGAATCTTGTGTTTTGTGCTGTGCTGCTACACTAGGCTTTGGTTGTGGCTGTTGGGAAAAGTTGCCTTCTTCCTACTACTTTGTATTTCAGACTTTATGACATTCACAGCTAAAAAAGCAGTGCCCTGGGTTTGCTGTGGAAGGTCGGCTAATTGCAATTATCATAATAATTTCCTCAGCAGAAAACTATGTCCCTAAGTGTGCAGTATTCTGCCTGTTGGGGCAGAGTTAGGCCTGGGGTTGGTTCTGGCTTTTTATTCATATTTTATTCACATTTTGGTTCATTTCTGTTCTGTGTGACCCCTGAACTGAATTTGCTAAGATGGTTCCTGGGGTTTCAGCACTGAAATTCTCATTGTTGTGGTGAGGTAGAATAGCAGTTGTTTGCAGGGTGGGCAATGGAGAGCAGTGGCAGGGATGGAACAGGCCCCTTCAGCTCACAGCAGGCCAAGATGGTAGTTGAATGCCAGGACTGCCAGCAAAACCTCTATGCGTGCTTTCATCTTGTTCATTATTCTAGTGTTGAACAGCTGGAATAGGATACCACCAATAGCTTTCAATGTTACACTGAAAAAGCTGTTCCCAACTTGTAGGTGTCCTGGTATTCCAGATCATGACATCCCACGGCAGGCTGTTGTGTGCAGAGGCACAGTGCACTTTGGAGCTGTGTTTCCTGGTTTCTCATGAGTTCTGACTCTCCAAGAGGAAGATGCACTGGGATGTGCTGCATTTCCCAGGAGCCTCCACATGATTTCCAATCCTGGGTGATGGGGGAAAAGCTTTCTCGTCTTTTCTGGGATGCGAGCTGTGGGGGGCTGCTGATAAAGACTCAGACTGATTCTCTCTCCTCTGCTTTTATTTTTGGTTCGTTTTGATTTATTACACTTAATTGTTCTGTATTATCTTGCATTCCTTTTAGTAAATCAGTTTTTCTTATCTCAGCTGGTTTTTTTCCCCTCTTCCTTTTCCCCCTTTCTCCCTAGGGGAGGGATAAGTGTCACGTGATTAACTCTTCAAACCATGACAGCAGGCCAGCTCTATTTGCTGTCTTTGCTACAGGTACCTCAATAGCATGCACCAACTCACTTAAATGCCTTCGTCACCAATTCAGGTGCCCTTTCCAGCCTGTTAATGCTCTCAGTCTTTCACAGTAGATCCATACCTCAGTTTCCCCATCACTACCATGGGGATACTGAGGACAAGAAGGAGAAATAAACCTAGCAGGAAAGTGGAGATGGGAAGGGCTTGTAACAGCAGGCTTGTTTGGAGTCCAGGTTACCCTGACAGCAGTAATGTGAACGTGATCCTTCTGGCTGCAAGTGCTGTGTTCTGCAAGGCATACAGAGCCAAAAGTTCCCCTTATTTAACTCATGTTATGTTTTTTCTCTTTTTGTTTCAGCTCAAAAAGAAGCAGGTCTATGTTGAGAAAGTGGAGAAGATGCAACAGGCCTTGGTTCAGCTGCAGGCAGCGTGTGAGAAACGGGAACAGCTGGAGCATAGGCTGCGGACCCGGCTGGAGCGAGAGCTGGAATCTCTCCGGATGCAGCAGGTATCCTGTCTTTCTCTGGGCCCTGGCTAGGCTTCTTGTAGGATTTGACACTACAACATGTGCAAAAGAGAGGCAGTGGTTTTTTTCATCTTGTAAAATCAGCAAATTTTTTCTTTTGGAAACGAATATGTTGGCCTCTGTTTTGACTTGATTTACTTATTTCTTTCTAACCAGAAAATTCAGATAAAAGAGCAACAGTCTGTGCATCCTGTGATAAGAGAGCCATATAGCTAGATGGTGTTGTAATTTTAGGCAACCTGGTTGTATTAATTCTTATATTATTCTTAAAATATTCTTTACAGTTTGAAATTTTAAGTAAAAGTCAATAACAACTGGACTGAAATGAAAGGCCCTTCAAAAAACTTTTATATGAAGGAAAAAAAAAAAAAAGTACACAAAACTGCCAAAACCACAAAACCAGTTCTGTAAATGCAGTTGTTGGAAACAGGAGCTTCATGTAGAATATGTTCTTGTAGCGTGAGTCTTTTTCAGTGGGGAAAAAAAATGGATGAGAAGTAGATTGTTCAGAGGCGTTGTAAATTGGGTGGGAGGTTTTAGTTTTATTTCAGCTTGCATCCAATGTAGGCCTGCATCATATTTCCAGAATAACTTGCAAACCCGACAGTTCACCTATAATCTAATTTATGTTTAGTTTAAATTTGGTCCTCAACTGCCATATCTGTGTAGGAGCAGATATTTACATAATAATTATATTTTGTAGTGCTTTTAATGGGAGTTAACATAATTTGGTAAATTTTCTTCCATGCCTACCTTTGGAAGAGGAAGTAATCTGAACGCCCAACTTCTGATTTTGAGCCTTAGTCAAAGCAAAAAATTAACTTTCTTGTCATGGTTTAAGAATTCTGAGCTGAATGTAAAGCGGATGAGCTGCCCAATTGTCTTCAAGTCAAGTATCACACAAATCCCAGATAAGATGCATTTTATCTTTGAACTTTCAGCACAGCAGATCTCCATTTTTTTTAATATTGACTTATGAGAAAAGGTTGTCTGTCTTCCAGATCCTCTGTTAGAACTAAATTATTTTTAACCACCAGCTACTTAGTCCACAGGTATACAAAGATCATATTGATTTAGTATTCAAATGCCATAAAAATATTTGGATTTTTTTTAAAACTGATAAATCTTGTACACTAGTTACTGTTTTGCTGGAATGGATGTAAGTGTGGTTACTTTAGGCAGTGAGAACGGGCTAGAGACATCAGACCTGAGTAGCATATCCAGCTCCCTGACATGTTCTTGTGGCTTTGCAGGTGGAAAAAAGCCTTAAGGAGTATTTTCCATCTCAGATACCCACTTGTTAGTGTTACCAGCTCTGGAGTAGCACAAAGAAGTGCTCTACCACAAGTGCTGTGACTTAAGCTGTCTTTCTTGGGAGCAGTTCTTGGTATTTTATGGCTTTTGAGCTTCAACATGTGGATACAGAAGGAGCCTGGCTTGCATTGCTTTTGTTTCCAGGTTTGGACGCAGGGAGGCTGCACTGCTCCACAGGTATATTAGGCCAGACTGCCTCGAGTGGCATAGCCACTGCAAATTCACTCTGGGGGGGTTCTTGCACCAGCCCCTGCCACTCAGAGAAAAGCAGACCAACCAACCCTGAGTCTAACATGTGCATCCTGAAACTTGTCTTTGCTTTGCGTTTCACAATCAGCGTCAGGGTACATCTCAGGCTGCCAACGTCTCTGAGTACAATGCCACAGCGCTTATGGAACTCCTGCGCGAGAAGGAAGAAAGGATTCTTGCTCTGGAAGCTGACATGACCAAGTGGGAACAGAAGTACCTGGAGGAGAGTGTGATGAGACAGTTTGCTTTAGATGCAGCTGCAACTGTGGCTGCTCAGAGGTAAATTAAACTATTCACAGTACAGGGATTATTTTCTTTTTCCTGTTGGATGTCATATTTTCCACAAAACAGTGTTGTCACATCACCTTCCCACAATACCTCTCCTTGTGGTCTGCACATCTTCTCAAACCTCTGCATACAAATGGAGCTTGGCTGCTTTTCCTGGGAGCTGTGTGACTGTTAACTGTAAAAAGCGTTTTTGCAAGGGAAGGTTCCACCACATGCCAGAGCCATTCTCCAGACTAGAGTTGTCCTAAGCCATTCCTAGAAGCTGTTGCTTCAAAAGTAGATGTGTGAGGAGGGTTGTTGGGGTTGTTTTTTTCTTTTTTTTTTTTTTCCTTTTCAAACAGGAGTCAGTCCTTGCTGAAGTCATGTGGGATGGAGTGAGATTGGTGATTCACATCATTTTCCCTGAATGGCTTGCTTGTTCTCCAGAATGTTTTTGCAAATCACTTTGTGGTATTGTCCTCAACATGGTTACTAACCAGAAACATCTACTAGGAAATTCTGCTCAAAACATTCTGTTGTGTGTGGAGAGTAGTTCTTGTGGGAGGGGGAAGGGTGTCTGAAATTGGGTAACAAGCTCACATTCCAATGCAGCTGTATAGAAGCAGTTATTATGGTTATAAATAGGCCCAAGTCTTCAGCTAGCTGGTAAACAAGTGCTGTTATTGGAGAGCAGCTCTTTAACTTCAGGTAGTGCTTACATGTAATTTCATTGATCACTAGTTTCTGTCTCTTAACAGCAGATTTTATTTTAGATTGTTTCACGAACGAGATTCAAATAGGGATGTTATCGCAGCTGGCTTCCTAGCACATAAGATCATACTGAAATTACAGGGGGAAAGTTGCAGATCTGCTGTGTTAGCATTTGAAGACTTACCTTGCTCCCCAAGCAGGCTATTATTTTGGGGTATTGAGTTTCTTGTGAACTGTTTTCTGCCTCCCTAGAGATTCTCTAAAGGCTCTTGATGCTGCTTGGCCCTGGAGGCTATGTTATATTTTCAGCATGCATTGATAAATAGGGGTCTGGTCTATTGTTTATCGTGGAATGAGAGGGGATGTGTTAGGACTGTTTAGGTTTTGTTAAACGAACAAAGAATGCTTTCCAGTCAGGAAAGAGCAAACCTCTACTTTTCCGTTTCCTTCTAGCTCCTTCTCCCTTAAAATAAACTGTTCCATCAGTACTGCTGCCAGTTTACATGCTGTTTATTATAGCCTTCTCAACAACAGGCTGTAAGGGATTTCACTAATTTCAGTGGTAACCTCATCTACACTGCACACAAATTTGCTTTCCTTTTTCTTTGGTGGTAGAAAATAGCATCCCTTAGGAAGATGGAGTTGCAGGAAGGATGCTTTACAGCACAGGCAGGAACCCAGGTCAAGTTAGGGTTCTTTGATGAGTGACCTTCCTATGCCCTTCACGCTGCTGTGTTGCTGTTCCTGGTCTGAACTTCTGCAGGGTTAAATGTGCATTTACCACACAGTTCTTAGGGCTGCTGGGTCTAAGAGAGCAAGTTTTTTATTACAATGAATTGCAGCTATTGGTGACTTCAGCTAATTTTTTAATTATTACTGTGTTAACACAGCTATGTCAGTAACATGCTCCTAAGCGTTAGGAATCATACAGTGTTTTAGAGCATAGTACAGTGACTTCATTCTGACTGTACAGCAACAAATAGAATGGCATATTATGTTTTGGTTAATCGAGTGAACAACCATTACAGTGTTAACATTGGGCATTACATGGAATTGATCTTAAATTGTTTTCAGCCCCACTCTTAAGTTTTTTGGATCAAGTTGTGTAGAATTACTTAAGAAACTTCAATGCCTAGTTCCCTTTGATACTCAGATACCCACTTCTTGGAAGAGAAGGGGAAAAAACCTTGCATCTGAAGCAAAGTTTGTACTTTTCCAGTGGAAGAAAAGTGCCTAACAATCTATATTATCTTTTCCTATTCCTCTCCTTGGATTTGCCCCATCATTCTATTTAAGTTAGCACAGTGAATCAGTTAGATCATAGACTGGCCTGAGATAGACAGCAAGTTGACTGTTAGTATTATTTGCATATCTTCTTTCATTAGGGACTGGGAGTGGGATTTTCAAAAGACACTGAACCAGCCTAAACTCAGAAACAGTACTTCTTGTTTGTTACTTTTGAGCAATCATTTAGCACTGCTAGAAGGAAAGCAGCATGATTAGCTTGCCCTTCATCTGCTCTACTGCTCTTTCCCAGGGATACGACAGTGATCAGCCACTCACCTAACCCTAGCTATGACACCTCGCTGGAAGCTCGCATTCAGAAGGAGGAAGAAGAGATCCTGCTTGCCAACAGGAGGTGTCTGGACATGGAGGGAAGGTAAAATGCAGTTTGTTCTTATTTGGCTACTTTAGGACAGGGATTCTAATTATTCAGGCAGATGCCTCAGAATCAGAAGTTCACATGTCTTCACCAATTACAACACTGTAGAATGCCAGACATTTGTTTGGCCAAGGAAGTAACTGCACAGCAATCCAAAATCTGTATTTAGATTTCGTGCCTAGCTCTCTCTTCAGGGCATCTTCATCAGACCCCAAGTTTGAGCCACTTCTTTATTGTTTCACTGTTTTTCCCCAGGCTTTTTTCACTGCAGACTCCCCAGACTTTGTGAATATTCTTTTTTTTTTTTCTTTTCTTTCTGTCAGCCTCATGCCCCACCCATAACTCTCAGCCTTGCTTCAGAGCTTCTCCCATGCCTGTTCAGAGTAGTTTCCAGTAGCCAGAGGTGAGGGGGTGTCTCAGTGAAGTTTTCTGTGTACATGTGCAGGAGGCCTCATACACTATGCCATGGAGGGTATTTAGGGTGTCCTCTCCATGCCTCCCTGAATGCCCAGGGGAGTTCAGGTCACAGCTGTGGGGTGCTGAGGCCTCAGTCCAAAGCGATGGAAGTTCAAGCACATTGTCGTCCTTTGTTCTTCTCAAAAAGGATCAAGACTCTGCACGCTCAGATCATAGAGAAGGATGCCATGATCAAAGTCCTGCAGCAGCGTTCCCGGAAGGAGCCTGGTAAGACAGACCAGCTCTCCTCCATGAGGCCTGCCAAGTCACTGATGTCAATCTCAAATGCTGGCTCGGGCTTGCTGTCCCACTCATCCACTCTGAGCAGCACTCCCATCCTGGAAGAGAAGAGGGAGGACAAGAGCTGGAAAGGCAGCCTAGGTAATTTTTAAATAATGGTGGCAATTAAGGTACACCAGTCACTGCCTATAGGGGAGGCAGGAACAGCAGAAGGTAGATGTCTGACAGACAGATTGACTAGCTTAGCATGCAGGAAAACTGCCTGCAAGCAGAAAGGAACACACTTGCAGCAGCTGCTTGCTTTAATCATTTTTGGGGAAGCGGTGACTTCTGATGTCCAGGCTCAGTCATGAAAATTTTTTAGCCTTAATTCCCACTTGGTTTGGTACCTGATATAAGCAATATTTGAGATCTGGTTTTCAGAGTTCCCAGGCACTTGCTTTCAGCTGGGCTGTTACAGCTGTCTGAAGGTGTAAAGTCTCCTTCAGCCAGCAGAGACACAAATCAGGATTGCTGTCCTGTAGAGTTGTGCCCGCGCTAACATGACTTCTGCCTGGAATGGCTCGGCACTATTGTTTGGAGAAAGGAAATCATATCAAAGGGAATCTTAGATGATGTTTTTCTTTCTGGAAAGAAGTTGGACCCATAAGCCTTCCCTAAGTTTCTGATAAGTAAATGAAAATCTCTTGCAGCTGATTTCAGGGTGTGCAGATTTATCCATCCGCAACTGAGCAACTGCTCAGAGTCAGGGAATTAAGATGGTAGAGCCAGCTCGCTTACCTTTGCATGCAGCAACATGAGAACACTGCTACTCTTCAGGTACTTCAGCACCAAGTGGTGAAAGGTGCTATGGAAAGGTAAATTAAAGCTGGCAGCTAAAGTGTAGATCCTAGAGCAAGTACTACATAGATGGGGAGAACTGATTCCAGTTATTTTTTTGGGATTGTGAAATTTCCTTCTCTTTTTCCACACAGGTGTTCTGCTGGGAACAGAGTATCGTTCCGAATCCATTCCCTCCACGCCCTCTCCTGTCCTTCCTTCCACCCCGTTGCTGTCAGCCCACTCTAAAACAGGCAGCCGGGACTGCAGCACCCAGACTGACCGAGGGAACGAGCAAAGCAAAGCTGCACCTTCCCCTGGAGCCCCCACACCAGCACGGCTCCCCACTGCCAGCCTGCCCTATAGTGCTGACAAAACAGGTAAGGAAGCTCAGCTTCTCTCCCAGAGGGTCCTGTGCCACTGGCTCACTGACTGTTCTGCTCCATCGAGCAGGCTCTGCTGTTCCTTCTTCTCTTTGGGAAAGCTGGGTTTACTTGTTGTGGGTTTCAGAGGCAAGAATTGGCCCTGTTCTGAGAAATCTCAAACACTCTGAAGAAAAAAATAATGCCTTCAGAGTGGTGCGATAAGCATGGACACACTGAGTAGAGAAGTACAGCGTGATTTCAGAGTTGGAGCAGGTATATGGGCAAGTCTCCTCTGAAGTAAGTTGAGGGTGGTCTGTGGGCTTTAAATAGCATATGAAAATGAGCTGTAGAAACTGGCCATCAGGTTTTAGTGAGTTTTCAGAGCAAAGGGGACTCAGTTAAGGGGGAGACAGAAGAAGGAAGGGTAACTACCATGATAAAGCTGTCTCGTTATTACACTGTCCCATTGCAGGGCCAACTTCAGCAGTGGTGTAAGTAGATCACGTTGACAGTGACTATCACAGAGGCTGAATTTGCTTCCCACAGAGCTCTGAGCTGGCAAGAACTGCTCATTTTCCAGTCCACTCTGCCAAATCAATGCAGATTATACAACCTTGCCTCTTCTACTTGCAGACACATTACAATTATGTTGCTCTTTATGGAAGAGTGAATTTGGCTGGTTTGCTGCGCATCTTGCATTGAGAGAAGCAGGGGAACAGGTTTTGTTTGTGGTGAAAGTGTACACTAGCTGCATTAGTTTAAATGAAATTTCTCCCATTTTATATGATGTTGTGTATCCATGAGAGATGCTGAAAGGGAATTTCAGAAAATACCTTATGTATTTTAGAATAGTGGGTTTTACTAACTAACCAATAAGTTGTTAGCTGCCTTTTGGCCAATGACAGAAGATGGCTTACAATGTTAACCTCATTTTTCTGATCCTGTGCTCACAGTTCGTCTGTGATTGAAGTTATAGCTATGATTGTCTCTCTTGTTTTCCCTCATCACGTAGATGGGCCACTCTTCCACTCCAGTACTCTCGAAAGAAAAGCCCCTGTTCAAACCATGGGGCAGGACCTCCCAGATGGAGAGATGGTAGAATACCTCATCTGAAAGCCCGTACCGGATCTGAACTCGGATTCAATAGCAAGAATTTTTTTAAAAGACAATTTTATTGGGAAAAAATTGTAGTACCTGAGTAATAAAAGAACACTCAGTTGTTTGCTCTTGTATATTATGTCTCAAAAGTATGGACAGGTTAATTTATAATTTGTTCTAAATTATAAAAAAAAAAAAAAAAAAATCCACAGTGCTTGTTATTTGAAAGTATCCCCTTTATTTGTTGAATACTGGATCTGGTAATGCCTGGATAAAAATCAATAACTTAGGTGCACTACATCTTATATTTCATATCAGTATTTTTAAAGTTGTCTCTTAAACAGAAGTACCTACTCTCATAGGTGTTGGTTGTTTGTCCAATGTGAACACAATAAGAGGGGCAGATTGGGCTTGTAGTGATGGAGCCAGGGTCTAATTTGGAAGCATCACTTGATGGCTCCAGGATGCAAGTATTCTCAAGCTGAGGAGCTTTCATAAATATGAGCTATGATCACAGGAGTTTATCTTTTCACTCTGGGTAAGAATAGGTATTTGTCATTCATAGCCTGGAAAGATTTCCATTTTCAGTATGGTAACTTTTTTTTCCAGATTGTATTATGTCTTTAAAAAAAAACAAACAACAACAAAAAAAGACTCCAGTGATTAATGTAACATTTCACATTTTCAGTTTGCATCGAAAAAGTTGCCATAGTCTTATACGTAAGTACTTGTTCAATAATTTATACAGTGGATAGTAAGTAATATATTGCATTCATGTTTTACATAAATGAAAAAAGGACATTTTGCTGACTCAGTCCTGATCTGTTAGATCAGATTTCTGCCATTGTAATTCCATTGAAGTTAGTGGAGCTTCCCCCAGTTTACAATAGTGCAAGTGGCAAGCCCTGTTGCTTTCCAGTGTTACAACTTAACCTACTGCATCCTTAGCAGTTTTTTCTTTACTTCCCATGCCCTCCTTTGTTCTGGGAGAGAATAGATTCTTTTTTACATAGCAAAGCCTCTGAGGTAGAGGTTTAAACAAGAGCTGTGTATAAAGTTTCAGATGGCAAATTCTGTCCTTCCAAAATATATATTCTTTAACTAACTGAAGAAAGCAGCTTAAATAAAGACCAAGAGGCATTACAGAAGGAAGTTACACATTCTAATTGTCAGGTTCTCAGATCCTTGGGGACTAGCAAGAATACAGCAGTGCTTTGATTGCAGATGCTGTAAGGAAATACTAAGACCAATAGACGTAAATGCTTGAGTATTTTTTTTATTGTCTGTTTGCATTTTTTAAAAAAATTTCTATATATTTATTTCTAAAAAAAATTTTTTTTTTTTTTTTTTTTTTACTTGAATGTTAAAATGTTTAATTAGCCAGTAGTCACAGGTCTGCAACCTGGCTAGCCTCAGCTTTCTGGACAACATTAGAGTAGCCAGATTTTTATTTCAGATCATTTCACTTCAGAAAAAAAGGAAAATCATCAATTAATCATCCAACAGCTAATGAATGTCCTCAATTCCTACTTAGCTGACACTACTGATAAGGTGTCCAGTTGAAATGGCCTTACCATTCAACAGGTGCAATGTGAATGTTACCATGGAGGGGTGTGAGCTGAAGGGAAGTGCCTTCTCCCTGCTGCACAGGTAACGTAGCAGTGCCTAACAGTCAGCCCTGAGTTGGTTTCTGTTTGTCCTCCCCAGTGACAGTCACTTGGAAAAGCAAGGCAAACAGTTCCTGTTGCTTCTAGCAAATCTCCTGCTTGTTAGTATTCCTCAGCCTGCCTAACCCCCAGAAGTCAGTTGGCAAAATGCATATTATGTACAAAATTTAGGCGAAAGCTAAGTGACCTGGAATTACCAGTGGTCTCTCTAGCAGGCTGCCCAGTCTCCCTTCCATCTCTGCCATGTGACATGCTTCAGAGCTGCACTTTAAGGCTTGGACTGTCTCTTCCTAATGGGTCCACACTGCTCTGCAGCGTACAGTAGACCTTTCCTAAGGGTATTCTAATAATCAGTTTGATTTAATTCTCCACCCCTTTCTAGACAAACTGCTCACAGCCTCTTTGCTCTCATTCCTTATGTTTATTTCTCTTGACTTAATTTCATCCCATTATATGAAGTAGTGCTCACTCTGATGGTTTTGAGTGATTTCTCTTCCTCCGCTGCAATTGCTGGAAATGCAGGAGAAGCTTTTCTTGTTAGGCCACTATATTCATCTTTCTACCATTTCAGCATCATTTTCTGTATTATATTTTGTGGTTTGGGCTTAGACTGAGCAATAAGGGAGATGGGATGCCACTGGGGTATCTGTGAGAGAGGAGGGAAAAAGTGTTTTTTCTATTCTTTTAAAGTCAGGAAAAGTGACATTCCATTTTTACAAGTGTTTCTTAGCAGTAAGAAAGAAGTTCTGCACCTGCAGGGCTCTGCACAAACAGTTCCAGCTCACTTGATTCTCATTGATTCCACAGTGTCTAGGAACATTCTGATCATTTATTGATACAATGTGTTTTGTCATTCTGCTTTTCCACAGTTGGTGTTGGCTGTTTGGCTGGGCTAGGTAAAATAGTTTGTTTATTCTCTGTCACTCACTGGTTTCAAAGTGAACTCCACCACATCCTATTTTTACAAACAAAAAATAGGAGATAAGAGGATAGATTCTGCACAGTGGCTGTCTCCTCCGGACAGGGCAGCCAGGTGGCCTTTGACAGTCCAAGCCATCAGGACTGCAGTGATCTCAGTGGTTCTGTGCTAAAGGAAGCCAATCTGGAAGCAAATGATGCGTTTTCACATTCCTTCAGCTGAGTTCTTTGCCCTACTTTATGGTTTTGATTTCTCCCAAAAACAAAACCCCCAAAACGTTTGACAGGGAAGTTTGAGGTCATCTTCCTGTGTGACAAACACGGCCATCAGGAATGTAGTCCTCCCCTCGAGCTTCCTCAGAGCCACCCTCATGTGAATGTAATAGCGCTGCTTTCTTTGAGGAAGATGTGTACTATAGTCCTCAGTCTCCCTGTACAGATTTTTATTTTGTTTTTAAACAGAAACCGCTTTAAGGAGACAAACTGCACACCTAGATCCTTTTTCTTCAGTAGAGCTTGTTTCTAGTAGAACGTGATTTTTAACACAGTGATTGCAATGACTTTCTTTGCAAACCAAAATTCTAGACTAAGAGTTTTTCTTAAACTCGGATATTAGAAGCAGAATTGTAGCTTTTCTTAAAAAAAAGAAAAAAAAAAAAAAAGAAAAAAAAAAAGCCACATATTCTTCTTTGTAGAGCAAAACAAGAAAATCAAGTGTAGTTACTTTTCCTCTTTCCTTTCCCTACTTACAGAACGGCCGAACTCACAAGTCCTTTCCTCGGGCAGTTCCTTTGAGATGTGATGTTCAGGGGGCAGGCTGGGGTTGGGAAGCTTTTCTTCCCAGCTGTCCCAGTCTCCTTGTTAACTCTGAGCAGCTCCTTTCTGGCAGCTCCTGGTCTACAGCTGTCATTGTCTGAGGTCTGTGGGACCCCTGGGGATCCGAGCTGCTCCCCAGGAGGCTGCAGGGGGTGGCTGAGGTAAGCAAGACTGGCAGGGAGCTGAAATGCAGTGTGGCCTGTGCCTCTGCAGGCAATCGGAAGAATGTGAGGCCCTAGCATTAGCTTTGCTTTGATTTTGAGGCTGCCTGAGAGAAGGGAACTTGCGGGGCTTTAGGCCAGAATAATTTCCAAGGATACCTCCTGCTCCGTGATCCCGTGCTGAGTGTGCCGACCGCATCCGCGAGTCAGGACAGAGCACAGGAGCCACTGCTGGTACCCATGTGGCAAATCCTGGTAACTGTGGCCAAAGGATGTGCTCTTCCATTGCTTACAAAATGGTGGCCACATGGGGGAGTGAGGACAGCAAAGCTCCAGGGCGCTTGGGCATCCCCTGCCTCTGGGGCTGGCGCGGCTCAGGCTGGGGTGGGGGCTGTGGGGTGGGCTTCTCTTCCATGTATTTGTATAGGAACTGTTTTTTAAAAGCTAGCATTCTTATGTCTAGAAAGTAAAAAGACATTGTAAAATGTAATTGTACTGTATTTATGAAGAAAATACATTTCTTTTCAAAAAGACTTTACCTTAAGTTTGTTTTAGAGTCTGACTTCCAACAACACCATCTTTGAGGCTTTCGGAAGCATTGAAACCCATCTGCTTTGCACTTTTGTGTCTACTCTGAGGGCTGTGCTAGACTATTGAGGTTTAAGGAAAAGACAACCGCCTTCCCTTCTAACTCAAGCAGAATCCCTGTGTTACTCCAAATTCTGAGGTGTTTGAATACTTGCTTTTGCTCAGCATGGTCTCTGCTCAGCATCAGCAGTGGTGATGCTTAGATAACTGGGCACCAGTGGAAGCAGCGCGGTGTCTGAGCTTTGCCTCTGGAGAGAGCAGGGCCAGAGCTGCTGTTTGCACTCTGAGCTGCAGCATGGCTTCTGCTGCCTGCAGAGCAGGACGGATCCCCAGAGGGGTGTTGGTCATGACTCTGCCCTGGGATTCGAGTCTCCGGTCACAGAGTAGCAGCTCAGTGGGGGAAATGGGTGAAACAAGTGAGCAGTGAACTGCTTTACTCCTGAGTCCAAACCAACAAAGCACAGATCGAAATTCTAGAAGTTCAACATTTCACAACTTCAGAAAATGCATCGAGAGAATGATGTTTTTAATATAAATTTATATTGAAGTGAGTTTTGTGGATTATTTTCCCTCTTTATTTAAACCCAGCTTATTTTGTAATTCTGAACGAGCTGTCTTGTAATTCAACTGTTGAAACAGTCCTGAAGTCTTTGAAGATAATGGCAGCTCTAATTCTAAGAAAGAAAAATTAAGTTTAAATATATATATATATATAGATACTTTATAAGTGTCTGTCATTATGTTTGTAGCTAGCTATAAAAGTATTTTGTGTGTTTTTAATGAACAGATGCTGTGTTTTCAATTTTTTTTTTCCATTGATCAGCTTGTTTTATGATTGATTTTCTAAATATGAAGACCTTATTGATCATAAAACGAACATAATCACCTCATCTAGTTCTTGCTGCCGCATGCATCCGTCTTCATGTTTTCACCCGATAGCAGATTTTGCAAGATAAAGATAAAGATCATTCCAG